CGTCGATCCAAACTCGTCGCTCGTCGTTCGTCTTTTGTCATTTGTCGTAATTCGTTTCTTTCCTTCCTTTATTGTTTGTTTGTTATATAGCTTTTAAAATTGTGATTTTTATATTTTTTGAAATTTGACATTGTTAATTTTTTATATTTTGATTTCTTATATTTTTTGATTTTTTATATTTTTGAATTTTTATATTTTGAATTTTTATATTTTTTGAATTTTTATATTTTTCAAAATTTTATATTTTCGAATTTTTACATTTTTTATTTTAATGTTTTTTGAAATTTTCATATTTTGAATTTTTATATTTTTTGATTTTTTTATATTCGGTTTTTTTATATTTTTTTGATTTTGGATATTTTTAGTTTTCTCAATTTTTAAATTTTTTTTGTTCGATTAGTATGTATCTGTTCTCTGGTCGTTCGTCTTGCCACCTTAAACGTTCGTGTTTGTCATTGTTGTTTATCGGTCATCGTTTGTCTTCCGTCGTTCGTGTTTCGTCATTGTTAATTTCTCGTTGTCCCTCGTCGATCCTTGTTCATTGTTCATTGTTTTTCGTACAATTCTTCTGGTTTGTTTGTTCGTTTGCTCATTGAAAGCCCCTCGTCGCTCGTCTCTTTGCGTTCGTCGATCCAAACTCGTCGCTCGTCGTTCGTCTTTTGTCATTTGTCGGTATTCGTTTCTTCTCTTCGTTTATTGTTTGTTTGTAACATATTTTTAAATTTTGATTTTTATATTTTTTACATTTGACAATGTTAAATTTTTATATTTTTGAATTTTTATTTTTTTGTTTTTTTATATTTTGAAATTTTATATTTTTTTTATTTTTGAAATTTTATATTTTTCGAAATTTTATATTTTTGAATTTTTATATTTTTGATTTTTAATATATTTTGATTTTTTATTATTTTGAAATTTTATTTTTTAATTTTTAATATTTTTTGAATTTTTACAATTTTTAATTTTTTGAACTTTTCGGAGTTTGAATTTTTGAATTTTTATATTTTTTATTGTTATATTTATTTAAATTTTCATATTTTGAATTTTTATATTTTTTGATTTTTTTATATTCAGTTTTTTATATTTTTTAATTTTGGATATTTTTAGTTTTTTCAAATTTTAAAATGTTTTGTTCGATTTGTATGTATCTGTTCTTATGTCGTTCGTCTTGCGGTGTTAAACGTTCGTGTTTGTCATTGGTTGTTTATCGGTCGTTGTTTGTCTTCCGTCGTTCGTGTTTGGTCATTGTTAATTTATCGTTTGTCACTCGTCGATCGTGTTTCTTGGTTCATTGTTTTTCGTACGATTCTTCTCGTTTGTTTGTTCGTTCGCCTATTGAAAGCCCCTCGTCGCTCGTCTCTTTTCGTTCGTCGTTTCAATTTCGGCACCAGTTGCCAAAAGAAATAAGTTAGAAAAAATTCTTCTAACACGTGTTGTAGCCAGAATCCATATTTTCTGTGTTCTTGATACCGAAAAATCTATTGACTACAATAAGTCTGTCTGTGTGTAACAACGCTAGCGGGTAAACTGATGAAACCGATTTTATCCGAAATTGATACTCCTCAATCGGTATCTGTATACAATTTTTCTAAATCATGATACTCTTTATAAAGAGAATTTAGATGCGATAAACTATTTTTGGAGAGATTAAATATATTTGAATCTGTGTAGTCATTGCATTAACTTCAGGTTTAAAGGATTACCAAGGAGGGATGTGGTAAATCCTTCTCTGTATCATGTGAAGAGTTTCATTATTAAATTCATCTTGATAAATTAGGATTCTTTCTGTCAGTGATTTTGGATATTTCACATGGATTGAATGTTAATCTGTTTTAAAATGGTTGAAGATATATTTGAATGTCGGATTATTTCAGGAATTTAACGTTGTGTAGCCAATGTTTAAACATAGTTTTTTCCGCTGCAAGTCGAGGGGGAGTAGTCTTGATTCTACAATAAGGCTGTTGATAGTGCTTTATTTAAAAGCACCTAAGACATGCTGAATTTATAATTGGGTGAAGCGTCTGTAGTGCAGGTTTGTTAGCGGACCTGTAGATTACAGCTCCATAATCTAATTTGGCTTGAATAATAGCACGAAAAGCATTAAACATTTCCACTCTGCTACCCACTTCACGAACTTCACGAACATTCACGAACTGACATTCTCAGACATTCATACGGGATAAGCCGCCAGTATGAACAGTCATTAGATAACGGGTCTTATGCGATAACAGGAACAACGCACACCTATTTTGCAACAATGTCCGTTTCTGCTGCATTCAAAGTAACTTTCTACTGACGCCAATTACAACTCACGGCATTCCTAGACTTCTAGTTGCCACCTGTGTTGCCAACCATCGCCCTCATCCCTATCCAGGCGGATGAGAACCAGGCGGATGAGAACATCTCCCCTGCGCACGTGTTCAGTCTCGGGCACACAGCAACTCCAAGATTCTGATTGTGTTTTCTGTACCATGTTTTTAATTTTGTAACTAGAGTATTATGCTATATTGCATATTAAAACTCATATTAAGTGTTTACTGTAACCAAGACAGACTTCAGCTGTAAATGTCAACGTCTACTGCATTCATTCAAATACTTTCAACCTAGGTGTAATGAGAGTATTGTAATCTACTGTACTGCTTTACTAGTTTAATATAGTATTTTTTCTGCAAATACTACATGCCCTCGACATTTCTCTCAGGTAATAGTGACTCCCTCTGGTAGATAGAGACATTCACAGGGAATGCCTGCTGCTTCGCATTAAACGCGGTGGTCATTGGTTTTAATAAACAAGACTCCAAGGTAATTGAAGGAGCTGGCTGCTTAGCTTCATCAGAGCCATCTCATTCCTCCTCGGTCTCCTCAGTCAGCCCCAGACAGTTGGCAACACGCATAGTATTGTGCGACGTTAGGCAAGCCGCCTCATCTCCCCGCACGTTCGTATTGCGAGACTAAGGCACCGACTCTTGTCTTGTAGGTACAGAGGGAGGTTAGGACGGCTGAGAGGAATGGCGAAGATAAAATTGAAAATTTCACCCATTTCATACTACATGTTGATGGCTTTCCTTCCTCTTTACATAAATCGTAATATATTTAAACTGGTAAAAGTTTGGTTACGATTTCTTGCATAACAGATAGGAACCGCATTTAGATACTGGATAAAGTGGCAATCAGAAAAATAAATTGTTTGAAATTTGGAGTTAAAATCTATACATACGATATTGTCCCTATCATCTCATTTCATTACATCAAAACAACATATATCCTCAACCATCTATAATTAGTTGGTAGATGTTAAAAAAGAAAAACCAATGAACATCTTGATTAAATTGGTACTTTTTTTATTGTGAGTGTATTGTCACCAGAGAGAGAAAAGAACGAAGATTGATTTTTACAAAATAGCACGAAATGTTAATCTACACATCGAAACTCTCCCCGCTTTACATCATTCAACGGTAGCATACACATGACAAGAATGATAAACAAACAAACACGTATCTGCCAAATACCAAGACAAGCAGTAGCATACACAAAAAACGAACCGGAGACGAGAAAAATAGAACAAAGAAGATACAGACAAGGATATAGAGAAGTTTGAAAGACGGTGGCATAAAGAAGGTCATTCCAGAAAAAGAGGTTTGCCAGTCCTTTGGCGCTTAGTTAGCCGCGAAGTACGATGCGTATTGGTGTTGGAACAGGTGAAAAGGTGCTGGCGACATCGTCGTAGCTAGCTGTAGGCTGCGGGCAGCGCTCCTTGAGATTCTTGCGGTAGTTGACGGGCCACGTGGGGGCGGACGGACTGCAGTGGCGGGGTTTATGTAGGCGCGCAGACAACAGTAGTAGCGAATTGAAGGCAGACAGCACTCTTGCAAGCCCACGACCGGCCTTGCTTACAACCTGCAGTTCGCTGGGGCAGATGCTCGATTGTCAGATTGCAGTTGGCGCTGCGCAGCTTGGCACCCGAGCCGGACTGGTCGGTGGGAGTATCTGCGGATCAAAGAAACCGGATTGAAATCACCAAACATAACATCAGTTTACTCATTATGATCTACTGCTGGATTGGTAATACGCGCGCGTAACACATCGCTAGCAATTAGCACTAGTTGTTCATCAAGGATATTCCCTAAATATTAAAACGAGTGTTTTGAAATTTCCTGAATTCTTCTGAAAACATGGCTTCGAGTAGAAATATTGTGGATATCGGAAAATTAAGAAGTTATTATGTTCGTTATAAATCGTACAAAGTCGAACTTCATCTGAACTGTCTTTGTTAAAAAATGCCGTATATCATATAATGTAGGCGATATCTAATGACCAAGCCAAATATTCACCCAGGAAGATTATCTTTGCATATTTATCAATATTGGAAGGTATGTTCCAATTGTCTTTGGAGTCTTTAAAATGTTTCTTTTGAGTCATCCCTGCGGTACGCCCGATGTGAATTAACCATGTTCCGAAACCTATCTTGTTAAGTATTACCAGATATCATATCAGTATGCGCATTATCTAATGATAAAGCCAAATATCACCAGAGAGTATACTTTGATTTTAGCAATATGGAAGATGATGTCCATTGTCTTCTTAATATTTTGTCTTTGAGTCATCCCTGCGGAACACCCGAATGTAATTAACAGTGGAATGGGAAGTGACTTTACGGAGGCCATGACGTTGAACCCGTCGAGCGCTTGCTGACGTTCGTAGTAGGTCGAGCCCCGCCCAGCCCTTGGGCAACAAGGGCGGTTTTTCAATCTCGACGAGTGACGGGCGGGATGCCGCCGGCGCCGTGCACTTGGAGGCCGCGGCCGCAGTCGCCGACGCGCAGCCCCTTGCCCGCGGCGTCCGAAGTTGCAGCCGGTACGCGCCCAGAAGCGCCCGGCCCAGTTGTCGGGCACGCTCTTAGCCACCTGCAGCACAAATGACAACCTCAGCAACTCTCCAATTTTCGTGTACTAACTGAGGGAATGTGAAAGAGAAGAAGTGTGTCATATTAAGAATTCGAAACAACTGCCAAAATAAAAAAATAGAAAAAAATGCATCCAAAAAATGCAACATCAAATTTAAAATATTTTTTTATTATTTTCACTTAACGCGAAAGTCTAAAATAGACAACTGCTTTTTAGATTCATTACAATGGAATACGCTTACATATGTACCAGTGAAATCGATTACGTTCTTACCGGTTATATTCTCTAAACCTCATTGTGTCAACTGTAATTTAAAAAAAAATTAAATATATTTTTTGACTAATGCATGGATTTATTTCTATTTGTTACGATATATGGTATATACTTATATAATCATGTTGAACCAAATATACAGTATAGTTTAGATACAATGGTTGCTTTTTTACATGCAATTGTTTATATGTTCGTACTTCATTATGCTCGGTAAAATATGTAGGGTAGAAACTGTGGGGAATTTACAAGCTGTGTTTTAGTATTTGCTCATATTGACCCTACAATGTTGTTCTAAATTTCCCAAGTAAGCAAACCGACAGAATTTTACCGTTGGATTTAGTAAGCGATTTAGTACATTAAAATAGTATTTGAGGATTCCTTGCAGAAAAAAAGGTATTTATAATTTTTATTCTACATTCATTCATTTTTCACTAATGGATCAAATAGGTAAAAACACACTATCATTTTGTTCTTGCGGAATGCATCTATGTATTCATTGATGCTAAAATATACGAAAGTTCAAAAATCATCAAAATGTCCTATCACATATCTATATCTTTTTCATTAAAAGTTTGATCTCGAATAGAATACTGTATCCCATAGAACTCCTTTTGTGCTTACCAGTGACAAAATAAGCTGTATAGAAATCATCGATCATTGACCCACTGTTTACTGTTGGCATACAATAGTGCACGAAGTTACCAATAGATCGCAGGAGCGCTGTCAGACGAGTCATCATGACTTGTGCTGGTTGTGAAGTTACCATTCTGTTACCATTGGAATATTAAATTACATTAGAAAGATAACTGCGGCATTATATTCCACTGAAAAATTACCATTGGAACGTAATTGTCCCTCTGCCCCTCTAATAGCCCTAAGTGAGCTTATATTGACTTCTTGAATACAAGCGCATTAAAATTTACTCTAATTTTGAACAAGAGAAACGGTGGCGAATGCGTTTACGGCAAAATTAGAAAGAAATCGTGTCAGGAATCCCAGATTTAAGTGTAAAACATGTCACCTCTATTTTAAAAAATGTTCACAGTTGAAGCATTTGATATAAATAGTGGCATCTGACGCTTAGGATCGAATTAAAATAATTAATTTTAAAATTGGTAATTTACTCACCGTTTCTAAGGTTCTGTCACCAATACAAGATATTTCGAGAACAATACACAAATTGTAATACTATTTTACTCATAGCCATGGCAGTAACTCGTTTAATGTAGATTGTGATAAAACTTTGTAGTGAAATGTGATATGTCAGTTAACATCATTTACGATCGAACGTCTCATCTGAAATTATTAAGGAAGTTTACGCTAATGAAAGTGTTCAGATTGAAGGGCCGTCCTTAATAGCCCAGAGCGTCACCTCAAATCAATTAAATAATAGTTATTTATGCACCAAGAGCTTTATAAGGGTTCTAACGCCAAAAGTCTTCTGGCGTTTTGTCTCCGGTCGGTCATTAGAACTAGAAAATGCTCGTGGTACATAATTTTATTTTTACCTAATTTTATTTATTCCGATTTACTTATTCACTAATTAACTATATGCTAACTTGACTCGGTTGGCGTTTTAATTTTTCCTCCCATAATTTCCCTCTTCTAATTCTCTCCGTAACGAAACATGTAGAATCATTCAACTGTTTTCATATTTCCCTCGTAACCACTGCCCTTTCAATCCTGGTACGTTATTCAGCTTATCGAAGACTACAAGACTCTATAACGTATGAATAAACAATAAAATAAATATTTCTCGGCGTGGGTGAGTGTCAATTAGAACCGTTTACTTACGGACGCGCCGGGCCCCATCTCCCAGCCGCCACCGTCAATGGGGGTGAGCCCGGCATTGCCCAGGGAGCCAACCCAGATGGTGTAGGGCAGGTGGTTCTCGAAGTAGGATCGGCCTGCGCCCACGACCAGCCAGCAACACGAGGAGGCGCATGCGCATCATTATTGCCTGCGCACACCAAAAACACACACACTTCTATTACTTTAGAATTGAGAAATAGAGGTCTTTACTTCAATAATTGGGTCGATACTTATTTTTTCATTTACGACTACTTTTTAGGGCGAGTTAAATGATAGATATTTACTAGGCTGTCCGGTGACGCCGCGTCCATGGCGAAGGTGCCGACGTTTCGGTCGCAGAATGGCGACCGAATGCTACGCCCTGAGGAAGGTCGCAGATTGGCGACCGAAACGTCGGCACCTTCGCCGTGACGCGCGTCACCCGGACAGCCTAGTAAATACTGACTCCGGCCGCGGAAGCTACGTCTCTCACGAGTAAATGATCTTCGAGTTACCGAGACTGTTTCTTCCCGACTAATAAATCGAGCATACAATAGGTGAAAAAGGCAGTTCTGCAACAATTTTTAATGACGACTGACTAAAATAAATAGCTAAAATTTTTCGATAACAAAAATTTGAATTAAAAATAGTACTGTTTAGCATCATTATAAATATCGCTAAAGTAATTTAGAGGAAGTAATGATATTAAAAATTTGAAAAGGATATAACATGTTGGTATTTGTTCGGGAATGACATGAGCAATTTTTCTTTCATATATTTTAAATAGGTGTTAAATTAATTAGTAAACGTATAACAAAAGCTCGAATGTTAGAAACGAACAAGGAAATATGAAATAATTTACAAATTCTAACTTACGTAGCATACAACTGCCTGAAATCATCATTGATTGTACGTTCACGAAGCGCAGAAAATAACGAAGCGTGCGAGTGTTTAACGCCAACTACACAAAAATACATTTTCGAAAAATTTAACATGACCTTATTTGAAGATGTTTCCGATAAACACCTTTCATTAAGAAAAATGTATATTATTAATTTTAGCTGTCGGAAGACGCCGAAAAATTTCATGGCTTTAAATTTTCGATATATGGCACTTCACCAAACATGAGACCAGAACATCTCTCTTAAGAGTCTCTTACGCTATCTGAGGTTGAAATTTAAAGAAAATAAAAATTGCCTATATTTAACAAAAAACTTATATTTTCGAACAACTGAACATAATTATTTAAAGAATCTTCATAATTGTAGTTGTGCGATGGCGAAGAAAAAATTTTGGAATTTTTGCAATTTTCAAAAATCAGAATTTTCAACGAACATGTTAACATTGCCATTTTTTAATCGTTGTATTTGCTACCCGAGCTCAAAATTTAATCAGATTTTTGGTACCGTTTATTAGAAAAAATGTTTCAACAAAATTAAAAATTTCCTATATTTCAGTACTTAAGTTTCAGGAAAATTGTACACGATCTTACTATCTGATCTATACGAAAACACCGAATTTTTTTAAACTTTAGTAATGTCTAGAAAATTAAGATTTTCAACGAACATGCGACCTGCATTAATCTTTTAATCGTCTTTTACACTATTACCAAAGTTTAATCAAAAAACATCTGTGCTTTTTTTTTAATTTTCAAAATATCCCAGAGGCTGCATGTACCCCCAAAATTAGAATATCTGCTTTAAATTCAAGAGTCGGCGACATCAGCTAGATCGATTGGATAAAAATCAATTTTGGTGAAAATAGATGAATGGTTTAGCCGTTAGCGTTGTTCACGGACGGACAGACGTTTTGCCATCAAGGACCCACAAAATATATATTCTGGCTACACCATGTGTTGGAGGATTTTGTTCCTAAGTTTAGCAACTGCTTTTACCCCGTTGTTCGTTACTAAAGCCTGGCAATGGGAGTTTTTCTCCGGGAAATTCATTGCATTTTCCCGCAGCATTACGTAACTTCCTCTACTGCGTAAACGGTCGTGAGAGCGTGTGACATATTTCAAGATTTCATTTTTATATCAAGGTCGAAACTTTTGAAGTAAAACTAAACTCGATACAACTGTTATATTAGACGCCAGAAAAATTCAAAATATGTTAATTTACCAATTTCATATTTCATTTAAAAATTGAAAAAATATCAAGAAAATTTCAATAGAAAAAGAGGACTTCAAAAAGCGTACACGAGTTGGTTTACTCACCTGTGTGTATTCCCAGAGAACAGCTCAAAGACTGTGAGGGAGCTGCTGCATTGGGTTGTATTTATACATGAAAGCTGTGGCTGGATGTGGCGAATTTCAGGTGTGCACAACAGCCAAACAGCCTTGTTTGTTTCTGCGCTGTGACGCGTATGCAATTTGTTTTTCGTGAAATGTTCAGATGTACCTTGAAACAAATGCAGGAAGTGTCCTTGCACTGGCAGATGGAAAGTTAATTTGTTTAAATTTAATGTATGTTACAAATCTAACAAACTGTAGGACATTTACAATGAAAAAAATATTGGCTTAATACTCATTAAATATATATTTGAGGCATTGCGGATACGAAGGGCTAACTCAACATCGGATAATTTTACTTTTCACCATGCACATCTAGATCCTTCAGAAAATCTATTAGAATATGTGATAGATTTATATTTAACTAATTACCATCCACTAATTATTTATGTTGCCCGGTTAATATTACATTTCTTATAATAATGATTAGTATTGATACTTCACACTTTAAATTGATTTTACAAACCTTAGTTCGAGATACAACACTTAACTTTCTTATTTTATTATTATATGTGGACGTGTGACTCAGTACAGAGCCACTATTCCTGGAAGTTCTGCTGTATTATCCTGTTGTTAAAAACATTTGATGGCAACCTCTACAAAACCTTATCAGCCCATTTACTTTGTTTGATAACAAAGAATTGACATTTATTCTGCAGATCTACAGTATTGGTGTTTGAGCTCATTAAAGATTTATCTTTAATTTTATAGTCACAAATTCCGCACGGTATTTCTTGTATAATTTTTTTAACCTTACGGAAATACCTTCCACGCCGTTCTTCAAAAGGTCTTCTTTCTGAAATCTGTCGATTGGATGTCCTCGCGATGCCCCTGCTATCATCGTAAAATCTGGCAGTGGGAAATTTTTGTAATGTTTTCTGCAAATCTGTTTGATGATAATATTCTATAATCCGATCTATTCAATAAGTGCAGTCCGTGAACGCAACTTTTCTTTCTTGCGCCTCGGATAAAGTGCATACTCGCGACTGCCTGTCATTTTACTTAACTTAAAACAACATGTGTGCTCAGTTATGAATCTATTCTATATTAATTCCCCACTTGCGAAGTCTATTTTACATGAATCCACAAACTAAGAAAGTACTACACAAGCTAAGCATGATACTCTCAAGTAACAAATTATATACTTCTCATAAACAAATCATACAATTAACATACATTTCCTGTTTCCTAACATCAAAATCTTGCCCGGCCTAAGTTTGCAAAAATTTTACCGTCCACTTCCATTGCAAGAGATAGACAGGCCCATTCTAAATAATGGCGATTTCAACGCCGTCTTGTTGCTTAGAAGTAGGTCAAGATAATGTTCAATAGATCATTAATGCTTTTTACTTTCTCGCTATGGAGTAGAAAGAAAGCTATGTAATGATTCTCGAAAAAACGGTGGATTTTTGGTAGAAAATCTGGTAACGAAAAAGTGGATAAATCCAGTTACTAAAATTAGAAAAATCGAACGAGTAGCCAGAATCTATATTTTGTAAGTCCTTGGTACCGAAAAATCGATTGACGGCAAAACGTTCGTCTGTCCGTCCGCCCGTCTGTGAACAGCGCGAGTGGCACAAAGCATTCAGGCGATTTTCTCCAAAATTGATATTTGCTAATCGATCTGCCTGACGTCGCGGTACCTTGAATTTGAAACTGATATTTTAATTCTGGGGGGTACTTTACATGAAGATCCTAGGGCATTTTTCAAGTTTTCGATAAAATGATTCCATCGTTTTGTATTAAATTTTGTTGTTCGAAAATATGAAGAACGTACAAGATAATGGTTCAGGTCTTCTGATCGTTGAAAACTCAACTCTTACGAAAATTGCAGCAGTTGGGTGATGATTTATTGGTACTTTCGGACACATCATATGCTGTGGTAAAAAGTCCCGTTAGTTTAGAGAATGTCTTTTCGCGAAAGTAGGCGGTGGTGAGATTAAGCTCAGACATGCACTTCATTTGTGAGGGCTTTTTTTCAGGATTTTACAAAATAAACGACTAAAAATTATGCTTGGGGCTTGTTTTACTTTGGAATTAGAACTGACTGTTGTTCGTGAATGTTATCGGCAAGAGAGACCATGAAAAGTTTTTATTCACACCACCTTTACTTATGTCTCAAGAGCTACACTAATTAGCTTCGTTTGCATTTTTGTACTTATAATTACAACTAGATTGTTTCGTTTGAAAAGCGTCGATAGCTATTTGAAGTCAAACACAAATTATGGAAAAGGTTGACATTCTAAACTTCGGATGAAATGTCGGTGAAAGTAATTGTTTTCAAATATTCGCTCGATCCTACAATTTAGATAAAAATTCCTGTTGAAAAGAAAGGCGTTAACATACCGCTGAGTGTAAATATACTCATAGTAGTTATTTTTTGACTTACCATAGGAAAAATATTTAACTTCTAGTACAAATTATAGTAACAACATACGTTTATATATAGTAATATTACAAAGTATCTTGACTGCATAGCAGCGCTGTAGTATAGCTGAGTTACATTTAAAATAAATTATCTTTATTACTTTGTGAATTGAACACCATTATAACACTTGAGCTATCTTTCAATTTCATATTTGTACTTCGTATCATTGACACATCACGGTTGAGCTATTACTTTCTTCTGGTCAAGAGAGCCATGCAGGGCATTGTAGTACGGACGCGCTGTTCAGCTGGCAGCTATGTAAAAATAATGAGACACGGGCCTCCAGTATGTTTGAGCAGCAAATTTAATTTCTGGTTGCAAATATTTTTTTTGCTTCCAGCCAGAACCGCAACATTATTAATCATTAATCGCTTTTTCAAACAAGTTCAATTTTCCTGGAAGACCACGCGCTAAGGTAGAACGATAATATTTTAAAAGCTTCGTCTGCGTA